TACCCTCAAATATATTAAATACCATATTAAATAATGTAAAATTTTTTGAATTGAATTTGAATTTCAGTATCGGTTAAAAATTTTACATTTCTGCATGTACGATAGCCTTGTTACAGAAAAGTATACAAGTACAAACAGTACACAAAATTAAAAAAAAAAAACGAAATTTATCAAGAAAAGCACTCACATATCGAAAATTCGTAATCATATAGATAAAATGTTTGCACAAATGCAATACGAGAATTTGGACCAGTCAACAAATGCGCTTCAGCTGATAAGGTCTCAAGTGGAACAACAATTCTTCATGAAATCGGGAAAAATTGTCGATTTGTTCATTTATTTCTATCCAATTGTTTCTTTCGACATTAAAAACTTGTCATTGTTAAATTATTTTTTGGCCAGATAATTGATCTCACCGAACTTCTGAGGATGATGCAACTTTGGTGAGAATTCCGTCAATAAGGAGTTGGATGTCGTAGTTTTTTTTTATTTACTTTTTAAATATTTACTTTATTATTATATTTTAAAAAAGCCAGACTATATGATTAATTTTTCGATGCGAATTTGCATCATTATAACATACCAGCTGCGCCAAGGATGAGACCCTTTATTGATTATTAATCTACAAAACATTTCTTAATTTATGTTTGTGGCACTTCTTACTCGTCAATAAGGACGATCCGATCTCATCCAATCTCAAGATCGATTTTCTTAAAGACCGTATCTAAAGTGGCATTCCAGAATTTCATTTGTTTCTTCTAGCCTATATCCTACATACTGTATTTGAAAAAGTGTAAGATTTTATTAACATACCCCCCCCCCCCGAGAATTTAATTTTAGCAGTTTTAAATATTTAAAGTGTTTAAAAATATCTCATCTCACTGACAAATGTTCAACGATTTTGTATTTTACATTTTATAATAATTTTTTATTATTATTAAAGTTTATTTATTTGATAATAAATAAATAAAATTATAAAATTTTGTATGCAGAATTTTTAATGAATAAAAATTAAATTTATATATTCCCCCCTTGAAACAATTTTTTTTTTTTTTTAAAAAAAAAAAAATAATTAGACAACTATTATTAATATTAAACCACTTTTAAAATATTTTTTTTTAATAGTAACTACTTCTTAAACTATAGATAAATTTTACTACCGAGTAAAGTTAACCAGGATTAAGAGAACCTTTATATTTAAATAGGTTTTTTTTTAAACAAAAAAAATCATTTAAATTGATTAATGCTTCGGTTAACTTCAAAATTCTCATCATAATTATGATCATCTTTTATAATTTATTGCAAGAATTTATTTGAAAAGAATCCTTGTATTCATCTATGTCGATACTCCAACTCCGTAAAGTTTTATATAAAACGTTTATCACCAATCATTGGAGAAACTGGCCTTGTTGGCTTTTTATTCGATGGTTGTATAATTATTGGTGAATAATATCGAATAGGTTGAGCATGATGAACCAATTCTACTCTTAAACGACGAATTTCTTCCGCTTGACGTGCCTTTATTTAAATAAATTTATATAATAATTAAAGGAGGTAATTAATAAATTATAAAAGGGTTTAAAATAAAATTTTACCTCTTCCTCTCGAAGTTTTTGTTCCTTTTGCTCCTCAGCTTCCTTGTCTCTCAACCTCCTTTGTTCATCAAAAAGATGACGTTCTTCCATACGGATATCAGTCTGAAAGAAAAAGCCGATTGCCTCTGTTGGCGGAGGACATTCAGGTCTTTTAAGAATTTCAGGTTCAAAACTAGGAACAGGTTGAGCATGGAATTGTAAGTCGTTTTCGCGTTCACGCTCTTCTTCTCTCAATTTTTCATTAAATTCCATTTGATATCTTTCTCCACGACATTCAGTTAACAATGTAAATGGTTTTGGATAAGTTGGTGTATAATGGTGACGTGGGGGCAGACACTACGTACAGCGAAATCAAAAAATTTAAGAATAATTGATAAAGATATAATGATACATCATCATATGCAACGTTACATACATCTGGGGAATTAGTAGGAAGTGGTCGAGCTCTAAATTCACGCATCCTTTCAAATTCCTCTCTTTCTAGTCGAATTCTTTCTTCTATTTCTTGTGATTTCCTTTTGGAAATTTCTTCACCGGGTAACCTGAAATCAGACACATTGATAAATCGATGTTCAAACATCGGTCTAAATGGATCTTTATGGTCAGGTACGGGATTAGCTTTAATCAAATGCGGTGGGGATGGACTCCTTGATCTTGGTGGTTTAGGTTTTGTTATAAATGGCGAATGTGGTTCAGTTAACTTGAGTTTCTGAACTTGGGGAACTCTTAAAACATCTCTTTCAAAGATCTTTTTTTTTTTTTAAAAAAAAAAAATATATAAACATATTTTTAAGAGTTAAACAAATAACGATACAATAAACGTCATTGAATGTAAATATTAAAAAAGACATGAATAAATACCTTTCGATCGACCGGATTCGCTTTAAATCTATAATTTTGTATTTCCCTTACTACACGTTCTTCTGTAGGTAATGTTCTGTGTAATAATATCAAATAAATTAAAATTACGAGAATACTTAAAAGATGAAGATCAATCATTTTGATGAAACTTACGTAGCATTTTTGGTTCTATATTTAGTACGCAATAATGGGGACCTTGGCACAGTTAATTCGTTTGAACGCACATTATTATGCTTAAGATAATAAATATATTTATATCAAGTTGTTAATATAAACATGATCGACATAATAAAATCATATGCTATATATTACCTACCTTTGAAACCGCTTTACCATAATCAAGCTTGGGGGTGTTTTCCATGAATTGTTTTACCTTGATTGCTAGAGGAATAAATGGTGTTCTTTGAGGACTGTCTTCATTACGAGAAATATTTACACGCGAGGCAGTATGAAATTTGAAAGGTTTTGGTACTGTCGGTACAAACGTGTTATTATTTTTACGTTTCTGAAAAAATAAAAATTAGACGCGTTAATTTTGAAACAAATTATGAAGGGAATTGGTTAATTTTATCCTGATAATAGTTACTTGTACACCAGCAGTCTTTCTAGCCAAATAATTCTTGGTTCGTGACGGTTGAGTTAGCAAACTAGCATCGTTTTCGTCACATGTATTCATTGGAGTCTGAACTATGTCTTCCATATAGTTTGTATTTTCGGGCACCTCAAATATGTCTTTATTAAAGTTTGTTATATCCATTAATTTTTTTTCTTCAGTTTTTTTCGTTTTTTAATTTTCGCAAACAAAACAAACAAATGGGAAAATCCTAAATTTTAAGAATATTTATATTATTTGCCACGCGAATGACGTATTACATAAGACTTAGGGGGCCAGAAAAACAAGTTCATTTCTAAGATCAAGCTATTTTTAGAAAGTAGACCCAACTGATTGGTCAATTATATTTTTAGTGATGTAATGGACAGGGTTCGTACGACGATCGATTTCTTTATATCTACCCCCACTTCAAAATTGTGGAACATTTTTAAAAATATCATTGGAAAGGATAATAATATTAGCGACCTCAAAGGAGGGAATTCTACAAACATTGACACAAGAAACCAGATTTTGAAAAAAAATGACGCCCAAATTGATGCTCGGAACAAAGAAGCTTAGTTCTTTCTTATCTCATTTAGAGAATTTATATAGAATTACCATAAAAAGAAGTCATTTACTAGTTCATCTACCATAAATTGGATTCTTCTCATCAAAGATTAATAATTTAAATTTCTTTACACACATATTAGTCATCAAAACTTAATAAAGAAAGAAGGACAGCTCCTTAAAGATGGTCAAAAATTACGTCGAGTAGCTTCTACACATTCATACAAACGGATTAAATATAATGATGAAAATCTACAGGCTTATCAGCAGAAAGAATTGGTATGGAAGCGGAAGAAGAGGATCATTGTACAAGATAGTATATTAGTGATTTGAATAGGAAAAAAAAAAATGGAGTGATTTTATTGAATCTGAAAGGTAAATATCAAAGAAAAGTGACGATAAATAGGTGTTGTTTTTAATTGATTCATTATTTTTACCTTTTTTATTTTAAATTAAAAATTTTGTGACTTTGATTTACCTATTATTGTACTATTATTATAATTACTTTAAATGTAATGAACTAGGATGGATTTAGTAATGTAATACACTATAAACAAATTCTGATCCTAGATCTTACAAATAAAATGGCGAATGTCTTAAAGTACTCATTTTTTTTCATATGATGAAAGTGTGTTAATGTGCCACGAAAAAGTTATATGAACGCACGAAAACAAATCATGGGTTCAATTGAACATTTACCAAAATATTAAATCAGCTGACAGTTAATGGAATTTGTTTATTACAGCAACGTTAACGTTAAGGAAAGAAATAAAAAAAAAAATACACAACGAAACTACAAAGATAATCGAACTTTAAAATAAACCAATCTAAACTGTTTCTTCTGGTTTAAAGCTTTAAAATCCAATAGCATTAGCACTAGCAAATGAACCACGATTAGCCACCAAACCATTTACGCTACCAGTTCCACCAAGAATATCCTCATCAACAAAGTAAGGTAGAGCACCTGCAATAGTTGCACCAGTGGTTCCTACCAAACCAAATGTTGGTCCAATCCCAACCAATCTCTTCTCAATACCAGTATTCTCGTTCATATTCCTTTTATCCTGATCGACGACGTCCCTTTGAACTCGAAATTCGGAATTTGGAATAATGTCGCGTTTAATCATGAGGATTGGAGCATTGTTGACGGCATAAGGAATCACATTACGTTTGGAGACGACTAAACTATTCGCTTGATCAAAATCAACATCGGAAGCAAATTCATTTGCATTTGTGGCCGAAACTTCATATTGATTTAAATTTGCTGCTTCATTAACTGCACTTAATGATTGTTGATTGGTGAGTAAAAGGATTGGTGTAGTAGCAATTTGCCGTTCATTCATTTTTAAAGGAGCAGAATTAACCAACGTGACAAGAAAAAGAAAAAGGAAGATTTTTACGAATTGATCCATCGGTTTAAAAGTTATTTTCGATGAAAGTATAAATAAAGCAATTGAGGTTTGAATGACAAAGTTTTTCTTTTATTGGGAAATTTTTAGGAAATTTTTGAGTAATTTGAAAGTCGAAGCAGATAAAAAAAGAGGTGTTTATATAATTTCAAAATTTTCATTTATGCAATGCATCAAATATTTTTTAATCAAATTATCATAAATGCATCGGAGAGAGATAAAGGGTTCAAAAAATTTCAATGATATTTATCAGCGATGATGCATTTCCCATGAAAAATAATCTTTTTGAATTGATTGATGCAATGCATTCTTTAATCATAAACTAGATATTTCGTATTGATCGAATTTAAAGCAAAAGGCTTTATGCATTTAAAAGTGATAATTTTTTATGCATAAACCTGATTGCAAAAAGTGATTTTAATGTATCAACGACGCTTTATACTAGATTAATTAATTAATTTACAGTAAGAATGATCCAAGAAATTGTTGTATAAATTCTTCATATCCCAACATTAACGTTAAATGAATTATCAATTGATTAATCATGTGAATTTTTTTTTTTTTTTTTTTTTTTTTTTTGATCGGTTCAAAATTATTTTTTAATGCATCATGATCAAAAACGGTCGAAAAAAATTTACCATGCAATAAATTGGTTGTTTTAATACATCAGGCATGGACCAATTTTCTGATGCTTATCTTTAAATCGTAATTTTACGCAGTTCAAATTTCCATTTATTGTCTTTACAATGATATTACTTTATGGTAACATTGCGGTATGCGATAAATCATTTTCAAGACATTGATCACATGGTTGAGGAGGTTAGTTTTAGATCTATTCGATAATGCGTAATCACCTTATCGATCAATTTTGATTGGATGTCTCACGCGTTGGACATTGTGCTCCCAAATTTTGTATATAGAACATTCAAAATAATTGTATGTTGCTTGAATTTACTTTCCCGTAAAATATTCTGTTTTAAACAAACCCTTTTCTTTTAAAAATAAACCAAATTTCTAGAATGATGAAAGGATATTCATTAGTGCAAGATTTTAGGCAGATCATTAATGATCCAAAGTATAGTAATATAGAAATTATTTGCAAGGATGAAAGGGTATTCCACTGTTATAAACCGATCTTGGCGGCGAGATCTAAAGTATTTGATGCACTATTCTACAATGAAATAGGAGAGAGTGAATTGGGACAAATCTCGTTTCCGAACATTAGTTCTTCCGGAATGGAGATCGTATTGGAGTATGTTTATTTAGGAATGATCAAAGAGGAAAACTTAACCGAAGATAATATAGTTGAAACTTATTATGTTGCGGATTATTTTCAATTATATGACCTTCTAGATATTATCATCATAAATGTTAACAGAGCTTTTGACATGGATTACAAGAATAATTATTCACCAGAATTGTTATCAAAAATGGTTGATACAATGCCATTAAGGAAAGAAGATAATCTTCTTCTTGGCCTATTGGTTGAAACGGTTTCAACTATTCCGTTAAATACCATCGAATTTGGTCGGTTATCTATTACGGCACTTCAACATCTTTTATCTTGTACCCATGAAAAAGAAAAACCCTTTGTAACCCCAGAGTATGAAGTTTTTCGGTATAGTACAATTTTAGTAGCGAGGCAGATTTCTAATGAACTAATCGATATCCTTTTAAAACGTTTACCAACTTTAGAAGAGATGGATGATTCAAAGCAAATTGATAATGAGATGATCATGAATCATCAAGAGGTTTCCAAAGGATTGGAACCTTTGATAAAGTTCATTGATTTCAAAAAAATCAAATGTCAGATATTAACTGATATTATCGAACCGTTAAACATTGTCCCGGTTGAAACGATCGCTGATGCTTTACGACATAAATCAATCTTAAACGATGCAGATTTAAATGGAATTCGAGGGATATCCTCATCATATATGAGATATTGGCTTTGGGATGAGTCTGAGCGTGGAACAAAACTTGTTGTTGAGGATTTTGGAGCGATTATACGAGCAAAAAAGGGTGAATGTCTGCAAAGCGTTAGAACTAAAATGGTATTAGAAAGTGATGGTATTTTTGAATGGGACGTTATCATTGAAAAGAATTGTAGTCGGGCTTACATTGGAGTATGTTCTTCAGGAAATTTAAATTATGAAGACTTTGCAGATCAAGGTATTGGTGTATGGGTATTAGGTACTTTGGGTAGTATTCGGCATTCCGGAGGTTGTGCATCGTACTGTCCACCATTTCAAGAGGATGGTAGTAAGGTTACTGTTCATTTGAATATGAAGAAAAGGACTTGCGCATTTACAGTTAACGGTATAAGGTATCCAGAAGTATCAGAATGGAATGATTTGCCATCAAAAGTTTATCCGATTGCTTCATTACAATATCCTGGTCGGTTTCGAATTCAATCTCATTGAATTTTGAATGATGAATTTATTATACTTTTTTACAGTATGTAGTCCAATTGTATGTAGATAGTTAATACCGTTATAATAGCAATAAAATGGTTATTTGCGAAAATTTTGAATTTTGTTTGGTTTTTAATGTGATTCATGTAATTTTACGAATAATTGATCTTATGAATTGTTTAGGATTAAACTTTCATGTGATTCAACCTTTACTCGATATCCCTAATTTAAAAATTAATTCTTTACAATTGAAATAGAAACCGCAAATTCACGTGTTGCTTTAAAAAAAAAGGAGTGTATTATGTTCATCTTATGAAATTAGAGATCTTGGTGAATTAGAATTAGGGAAACTCGTAAAAAAAAAAAAAATGGTATTTTATAGCTATAGATTATATTATGCAATTTGGTTAAATTAAACGTGCGGCAGTATGCGGCAGTGTGATGAATACATAAATTTCTTCTCTCTTTATTAAGTTTGACATTCAATGAATTCAAGTAGATTTCGATTTTAATAGCAAACGACCCATATACACAAGTATGATCTCACGGTCCCACCAAGTGTGAATAGGAATACTTTATTGGTATAGCAAATAAAAAAAAAATTATGAGATCACATTTAAAAGATTTTGAGCACACAACTCGACTTATTCGTGAGGTTCTTCGTGCGTGAATTATTTTTTTGAATGCCCCATTACAACTCTTATTGTATCTCTGTTTGTCTAGTAAGTATTCCTTCTATTTCACGGATGGCGGAGGTTAATTAGTTTATATTCTTTAAACAATACCAAATAACCCTATTTTATGATTTTACATTGGATCCCAATCAACCAGTATTGGCAAATGATTTCAAATGACATCATTTTTATTATAAATTTCATTTTTTAAAATATAGTATATGACCTTATAATGAATTTACCATCACTGCAAACAATATTCCGCCGCCACCGGATCCGGATCACTATGATAAAAAACATGTTCATGAGCCACCATTGCTAAGAACAAAGAGGAATGCTCGCAGTCGTTTTTGACTGTGGCCAAAAAGAGCTTTCATAACCCGATATTTTACACCGAAACTTCAGATACGTTACCTTGCAAGATTGCTTAATATTTTTCCACTTAATTTCACACTGTTCAGGAAGGTATTGGTTCTCATTATCAGTCACCTTGTTCTATTGCACTTGAGGTTCACGCTTGTCCATAGTCAATACGGAATTGTCCATAATGAATTTTAATTATATTTAAAATAGTTTGGATTTTGATTTTCAGCTCGCTTCCTGCTAAGAATAAAGGGGACGTGTCAAGAATATTAAGAATATTTTTTCTCCTATAGTCTTGTATATGTTTCTTCGTTATTTTTATTTCATGAAAAAAGTTTCTTTATAGAACGTACGTGTAAATAGATTGGATAGTCAGGTTGAAAAAAAAAAAAAATTCAAATTCAGTGCTTTTACACCTCAGATGGTCGCACAATTGATTTTATGTGAATTTTCCGGGAAAATTTTTTGTTGTCCCCATTAAATATTTCATTATATGGCGGAGTGAAAATAAAAGTTTAGGACCACCTGATAAATTAAAGAAAATCGAATTTTTATTAATTAACAATTTATTCATATTTTAATTAATTATTAAACATTTAATATTTAGTGTATTTTAATCTTTTTTTTTTTATAAATATAAACTAAAATTTGTTGTTTATTAATAAAAAATTTTATTTTTATTGTATCATAAAATTATTTTTTTATTAAAAACTTATATTATATATAATATAATAATAAAAAAAATTTTTTAAATTCACATAAAAAATTAACAACTAAAGATTTCAATAAAAAATCACAATTTTTTTATTAAAAAAAAAAAATTAATAAAAAATTTCATTGATTCTACTTTTAAAATTAAAGAAATATATTATTTAATATCTAGTAAAATTATATAAGCTTTAAATTATTGCTTTAATTCAATCTTTAATACTATTAACAAGTTTTTGATAAATCTCTTATTAAATTTGTATCAAACATTTTTGAAGAAATGCTTTTAATTCCCTCAAAAATTTTTGGATGATTTTCTTTTGCTTAAATATAATATTCAAGTTCATTTCAATAAGTATTTAATGGGAAGGTCTAAACTTTGTTATAAACATAGCAATGAAGTTATTCTCATCTTTTTTATAAAAGTTTGTATTTTTAAACTGATATGAATTGAAGTATTATCTTATTAAAAAAAATATTTTCCATTTTCTTTTTCAAACTCTTCTAAATATGATATTAAATAATAACCAAAAATATCTTTTATATACCTTCTACTAATCTGACTATTAATTCTTATTAAGGGATCTAACCTATACCATTAAAAATATTATCACATTATAATTCCATCTCTACTATGTTTTATAGTTGAAACAAAATAATTAATATTATATTTTTCTTTTGAAAACACCAAACTCTAATTTTTTCATTATTTTGATATAGGTAAACCTAGATTTATTACTTCAAATTATTTTTTTTTCAATTATTTATTGTTCATAATTGTTTTTTTTAAGATTAAATTAAATAAAATTTTCAATTAAATTTACTTATTAATAGTTTTTTGAGAGTTATATAACTATAATATTTTAGTTCATACAATGTATATATTAATTCACATTGATTTTTTAAGTAATAATTACTTTAAGATAACATTTATCATATTCATTAAAATTTTTGAATATCTATTATAAGAAACAATATTAATAACATCAGTTTTATAGTATTTTATTATAATATTATGTATGGTAATTTTACTATAATTTATTTTTTTTTAACAATAATTCTTTTCATCAATGTTAATGATAAAAAAAAGAAATTCAATTTTTATTTATATGTTTTTAACCCTACGCTCAGTCCATTGAACTTAAAGCAATGATAACTTAATAATAGGGAGTAATATGCAAAAAACTACTAAATTACTATAGAATAAGTTCTATCACAATCAACCTTAGATTTATAATAATTAGACAAGTAAAATAACTTTAACAATTGTAAGAACAATAAAAACTAATACATTGAAGGATTTTAATATATGTAATTTAAAAAGAGATTCCTTTATTATAGAGATTGTATTCTTAACAATCCTTAACCTTGGATTCTAAGTCTTTAACTAGTATTTTTAAGTTATCACAATTATCTCTGTCCTTTTACAAGAACAATTTTCTATCCTATTTATACAAAATTACAATTATAAGAAGATTGCTATCTAATGCTATTTTATATAAACTAAATTATAATGCTATGTCAACATCAGATTTCTTAGAATCTTTTTTAGGAGGCCTTCCTCTCTTGGCCGGAGTAGATAGATGCGATTCATAACATTGCAATTGATTTTTCTGCAACGTTGACATGCCGCCATTATTCATGACATTTGCGATTGATTTTTCTGCAACGTTGGCATGCCATTTTAACGTAAGGTCTCTTGATTCGTTTGACGCCCATGTTCGGAAGGCCGTCCGGAATCTTGAAAGTGATTCAAGAAGTGTGTCTGGTTGTTCACCAATAAATTGAACAAGAATATTTATGATATTCATAAGTAAAAATAGCTTGAGACGCTAATGTGTAATGAAAGTGAGAAAAACTGTGTAAATTTGGGATAGTCAAATGAATTATTATCGAGAAAATCATCTAGTTACAAAATAAAATACCTTGCGTAATGCCTCGCGAGGGACCTTAACGTGAATAGCAACTTTCCATATGTTGAGCTCGCATGCGTCAATTTTTTCGAAAGCGTTTTTTTTAGCATTTTTAATAAATTCTTGAAGATGCGAAATCTTTTTTTTCTTCCATATTTCTTTCGTTATATCAACTATAAACCTATTCGTAACAATGTTTTTTCCATTTAGGTCGAGAAAAAGTACCATGATTTCAGATGAACTGAAACAAAAAGTAAAAGTAATTTAGAAGTTTTAAGGAGTTCGATAGTTGAGGGTATATGCTGTGTAAGCATAGTAAAAAAAAAAAGTAATTTATCAGGTTCAGGTATTTATTTAAAAAATTTTTAGGTCGTACGAGTGGTCGAACGATTGACTAATCAGTGACTTTTATTTCCAATAAATTTTCTTTTTCTTTTGAAGTCCGGACGAAATTAAGGTACGAATGAAATATATTATATTTGTTATGACTTTGCATTTATAAGGAAACGACTTCAGGATACGCAAACTAATGACATTTTTTCAAATTTCCTTACTAGCATTACGGAATGCAATTTTCGGTGGGGCTTTACAAAGGTTAATGTTCATTTATTTCTGACACTTTATGCCTTGTACAAATATAACTGAAGTCTGACGACAATTTTTTCTACCCAGAATATCAATGATTAGGACAAACGAAACCAGATCATGAGTTGTTGTTGGGATAATGTGTTGTTATTGATAGTTTAGGTGAATGAAACACTGGTGTGTTCTGTATAGAAACGTCATTTTATTTTGTAAAACCAGTCTATGTATTATCGAATCATGTAATTTATTTTCTGTATCAATAAAGCCACATTTAACCGTGTAATTCTGGTCGTGACATTTGTCACGGCTTATATAAATGCTGACAATCTTTTGAATTATTCCTACCTTTATAAAAAAATTTCAGGATACATTAAGAGAATTAAAATGCTAAATTATTAGCTGAGATTCAGAGCTTTGGAAGGAGAAAACTGAGATTCCCGAACTTAAAGAGGTTACTAAAGTTTGCTGAAGTTGGGGCTGAGAGCAGATTATTGAAGATAATGTAAGTTGCGATGTTGAGAATGATAAGCTTAAGGCTGAAGTAGCAAAACTAAGACACAACATTGATGAGATCAAACAGCAATCTCAAATCATTACTTCCGAAGAACCTTCTGTTATGCCAAACTCTCGGTAGTCCAGCTCGAGCATAGCCTGATTGCGAAGCAAATGAGAGGTGCGGTTATTTAACCCGGATCGAATTTTGATGTACCTGATCCTGTAGTAGACAAGCTCAATAATTTCCAACACCAAATCATCGGAGATAGGGAGATGGACGTTTTCTTTGAAGAGGTAAGCAAGAGAAATAATACTTCTTCGAAAACATATAACCAACTTTTCGTTACTAAAAATCGCGAAAAATTTCAGATACGCCTAGTGACAAAATCTCTGAATTTGCTGACGCAGAACAAAATACCGAATTTGTAGATTCCCTTGATAAACCACTAACAAATCTAACTGTGGAAAAAGAATTACAATAAAGCTAAGTGAATTTTGAGAACTAAATGAAATTTAGTAAATGAAAATTGTAAATTGTAATTATTAATTCCAACTGTGGTTATTTAATATTTCAGCTTTATAGTACTATTTTATTAGATAAAATTATTGTGTGTGGCTCTTTATTAATGCAAATTAATATTGTTTAACATAATAATTAGAAAACTCTTATAACCTTAAAATATATACTGAAATTAAACAATACAATGTATAATACATTATTTGTATCCCTAAACTCGTGTACAAAACTAATGATGGCAGATTACCATTTTTTCAAATGATAACTCATCACTCTTTATCTGAATACGCTTTACCTTTAACAAACCAACAACCATGTTCAAAACCTTTTCTACCCTCCTAATCAACGCATGACGTTTTTCAGAATCTTTATCCAAAGCTTTCTAAATTCGATGGTAAAAGAAGCTTCACTACTTCGAGAAATAGTATAGTAAAAAGTGCCAATCCCAAGCTGTTGTGACAATTCCATAAAGATAATCAAAATCATCTTTTTCTGTTTTCATTTCCTCTTATTCGAGTTATACAAGCTCTCAAGTTGCACTATGTTCTGAGCAAAGTCGATTATTTACTCTCTCACCTTTGTCTTCCATAATGCATACAGGATCTAATGAGATCCACCTGGCATTCGAAAAGCTCTAATTATGCATGGCATAATCTAATCACGTGATCAAGCTTTTTGGTGATTTATTTGGGCGTCCTTAACCTACAGAGGAGGTGTAGACCCTTATTGTCTAACCTCATGTATAAATAAATATTTTTAAAGTATATATCACGTGATATATACAGTTGCAGTTTAGGATAAAGGTCTACACCCCTCTCTAGGTTAAGGATGCCCGATTTATTTAGCTTATCTGTGTTGATCGCGTTTTTTCACGTTTGCCTCCATAAAATTTTTTTAATTTCTTGATAATATTACATGATTCATTTAATATAGATTTATCATATTATTTAACTAAAGCCATAATAAAAAAAGTTGTATAAATGGCGTCAAGAGCAAGAGAAAACACAGATGATTTTTATGAATTTTTTCAAAATTACAACATTTACAAAACTGACGCCACAGAATACTATTCCTGAAGGGCATCAACAGATCTTGGATTAGAAAGTATTTAAAAAAAAATCAGTACTTATCTGTTTATTTTAGAAAAGAAATAAAGAAAGAAACTTTATCTTCTCCAAAATGAAATTCTCTTGATCAAATGAACAAGAAAAGTATTTTTTTTATTACATATTACATTAGATATTACTATGATGATGATATTTCTATAATTATTAACTTTAAGATGTATATTCATTTTATGATAAAATTTTCAACAAGTGAAAATGATTTGTATCTGTTAATAATTTGACCTTGCTATTTAGTAACATGATGATTTAAGTTCTATTATTTTAATCTTTAAAGTGTATATTCACTTGAAAATAATTTTTTTAATGAGTGATCTGCATCTGTTGGTAATTTGACTTCTACTTTCAACATTATAGATGATCTTATTATACTACTATCTTCAAGATGTATATTCACTTTATGATCAAATTTTCAAATAAGTGAAAGTGATTTATATCTGTTGATAATTGGCCTTGCTATTTAATGACATGATAATTTAAGTTCTGTTATTTTAATCTTTAAGATGTACATTCACTTTGTAATAATTTTTTTAACAAGTAATCTATGTCTGTTGATAATTTGATACTTCCTTTCAATGTTATAAATGATTTAATTCTACTATCTTCAGATGTATATTCCCTTGATAATAATTTTTTTCAAAAAGTGATCTGTATTTGTTGACAATTTGTTCTTTATTTGGTAACTTTCTTGCAATCTGCATTATATATCTAATATATATTTGCATAAATTTTCACCTTTTTGTGAATAATTTAAATTCTGAAATTCTTATTAAGCAATAAAACTTTAAACATCATATTTTAGTTGTAACTAATAGTATTTCTTTTTTTATTAGTTAAGAAATGTGAAAAATGTTAAAAAATTGCTTAAGGCACATCAAATATTAGTTTTTAATCTGTGATTACTTTAACATGAAAAAGAAGAATAATAAGCTAATTCAATTGGTATCTCACAAGTAATATTTTCACAAATAAAGACTTTGGTGTAAAATTTATGATTCTCTTCAATTAACGAAGAGTCACAACTGTAATTCATTTCTTCTTTTATAAAACATAACTCTTTTTTTTTTCATCAGTATCCAAAACTTGACTACTGAAAATACAACAAAGTTTATTATATTGAAAGCATTCAATATACTCACACACTTTATTATTTACAAAGATTTTGTTTGGTATCTATTCTATTAATTTCAGAATTTACGTTAATATAAGATGATGATCTTTAGTTGTTGTATTATAGTATACTATATGAAAATTGGCATAATGATCATTGTTTTTTTAAAGTAATTAAGCATTTTTTAATAAATAAAATTGTTTAAATTATAAAATAGGTTAAAATTTTCAGTACCAGCTGATAGAGTTAGATCTAACAAAAATTTGAGTGTCGCAAAATATACTGTAGAAGTCATATAGCTTTACAAAAGATACATATAGCGTCATTACATTTTTTAATCTGTTTATAAATAAAAGTATAATAAATGTTAATTAAATAATAAACTTAGTTGATATTTGATTTAAAGAAATAAAAAGAACATGCTTAAAATGAATAGTTTCGTTGACAGCAATAGTTCTCAATAAACTTTTGAAGTAATTTTTTTTTTAAAAGAACATCTGCAGTTATTTGCTTATATTTAAAAATCTATCAACTTCCAATATAATCTATAAAAAGTAATTATTTTAATTTGTAATTATTCATATTTATTAAATAAATTTACTTACTTTAAAAATAAAGAAATTTCAGATTCATCAGCTAAATCATAATAAGAAAATGGTTTATCATATAAAACTAGTTACTCTATTCTTTCTCATAAAAATTTCTTAATAGTGATAATACAACTTTGTAATTCATCAGTTAATTGTAAGGATTTTTCAGCTGCTCTGCAAATCTCTTTAAGAGTATTTGCTTTACTAAATAAAACTTCCATATCTTCTGACATTGTTTCATGAACTAAAGCCATCCTCCTATAATGCTAAATTCAGAATTAATATAATCTTTTTAGCAGGGTTGTTTCAGCTTTAATGAGGTATTATTTTTAATTCTATAAGTATATCAAAATTTTCTTTAAAAAATAAACAAATTAGGATATTTGAACTGATTCATATGTAATTCAATGATCAGGTCTTCCGTTGATATAAAGGTAAATAATTGGAGGAACTGAAGGTTAATAATGTGAGAAAATAACTTTAAAAAATTCTGTTGCATGTCTAATACCACTACTTGGCTGAAAGGTAATATCTTTAAAAGAAACAAACACTTTTCCACTATAAAATAATTCTTTAATACTTTTAAATACCTTATAAAAAAAGATAATTGAAGAAGTCAAACTCAGTTTTGTAAAGTCATAGTCATATACAATGAGATCTGCATTTTACAAAACAATAGATTTTTTATTACGCTAAAACTAGCAAAAACTAATAAACCTATCAAATATGACATATATGCCAAATATGGCATATATGCTAAATAGAACACATATATTATTTATTATATTTCTATTATTTATATCATAATTAGCATATCTGTTAGCTCTGTTATTATTGTCAGTAGTATCATATTTATCATAGATTTTCTTTAATTGTAATTTTTTTATATAAAAGGCATGAAAATACCTTGAAAAAAGAACAAATTCTAACAAAATTCCAATATTGTATTCAATATACATTTAATAACAATAATAAATAACTTTAATATTTTGCAAACATAAAACTTATAATTTATTTCTTGTTAACTAAATAAGCTCTCTAATAAATAGCATGTTAAGTTGATTGAATTTAAGTTATAGTTATTGTTTTTCTGACTTCAAATTATAGTTAACTTATTTGACAGAAAGAGTAACGTTAACAATGCACTTCAGTTGAGGTAGTGACACCTTCTCCAATTAGAATTTTGTGCTTATCATCAGCACAAATAAAACAAATATAATCTTGAAAAAGAATAGAAAATTTACATAAATATTAAAATAATAAGCACAATAATGTAAATTAGAATTTCTTTATGCAAAAGCCAGGTTTGTACTTTAAAAATTATTTTAAATTGATTAGTGTAATAAATTGCTTTTGTAGAAATCGAATTTGTTGGTAAAAATTGTAATTGAATCTATTTTTCATAGGGAATACTAATTTGAGAAAAAAGGGGCTTCCATGTTTTTCTTTAAGTCTTTGAGTTATACAATTATAAAGATCTCAAATAGATATTGCTAATGGTTTATATAAAAGATTGTGATAGCAATGATCATTTACTGCAGTATTTATTTAAAAATAACATTTAATTAATATTAGCTTTGATGTATATTTTTATATATAGTGAACAAATTTGATTAAGAATATTACTTCATTAAAATATACATCTAATTCACTTCAAAAGCAATCAAATTTAATTCCTTTAAAACCATTATTAATTTTATATCAACAATAATTGAAGGATCTTCAAGCATTAATATCATTTTTAATTGTTCTTCAATTTTCTTACTAATAATATCATTAGTTATAGTGGCATCACCTATTAGATCATAATAAAAAATCCTCAAAATTGTCAGCATAATAGTTTTTACTAATAAATACTATATGGATTTCAAAATGTAAATACTTGTAGTATTAATGAATTGATAATATTGCTATTTATACTAACTTTATGCAAGACATTTTTATGTATCTGTCTAATATAATATTTAGGTAATAAATTCTAGACGTTCACCATTGTTTATACTAATTTTGTTTCATCCTTATCATTTAAAGAAGTTAGAACTTTTCATATATAATTTAAAGTTCTTAAATAATTTCCTTGATGATATCAATAAACAGTTATAAAAATATTAAGTTATAAGTTTTTAATATAATCATATCA